CAGAGGTACGACGTAGTTGAGGAAGAGAGAGAAAAGAGCTACGATAGAATCGAGCAGTTGTTAGGGAATAGTTGCTAGTGATCAGGAGACGACAGATGACTAGAAGAACTTGTATCTTAAGAATAAACACACTTTCATTATCGTTGAACACCTGGAGTTTGAGTTGTTGCATTTCGTCCAAGTCTACGTTGTGCTTTTTGTCTGTCTCAACGCCTAGACACCCACAATATAAATCACAGAGAGGAGCGGTCCTGTACTGACCACTACTAAGTCAACATAGTTTGTGTTAAGTCAGGACCGGAGCCCTCCTCCGTAACAACCGTTCTGTGACATAGAGGCCAGACCGCCCCTGCTCACTGATGCTGTGTGCTGCAGACAGAGGCGTAGCGTGGTGGGGGCAGGGGGGCAGATGTCCTCGGGCGCCAGCTAGTTAGGGGCGCCAAAATGTGCTTTGATTATTATTTTATTGATGAAAATAATGGGTTTGAGAGTTGAAAAAAAGAAAAGGGGCGCTAAAAATGGATCTTGTCCCCGGGCGCCAAACGCCCTCGCTACGCCACTGGCTGCAGATGCTTGTATAGAGAACATGATCGGATAGTACTTCAAATCAGGGCCGTACAGATGCTGAGACAACCGAGTAAATCACCAGGGCCCCATTCCGCTTGATGGGGGGGGGGGGCTGGGGGGGGGCTCTCGAAGGCGGAAATTATACGCTTGATTCAATCAATTTAAAATGTGTTGGTGCCCAAAATGTGTTTGTCCTAGGGGCACTAAAACCCCCTCTGCATGGCCATGCCTCAAACATTCAGCATTGGTGTCTGAAACTACCGGTGTTAGATGATGTCCTCTTTTAAACACCTTCAAGGGGCCCCTGTCCCCTCACCCAATGTTAGTTTCACCTCCCTAGCATCACAATGATAGGCGTGGGGTGGGGGAAAGCAGAAATCGGTGGTGCCTATGACTCCCGAGCGGAAGTGGGGAGGGGGGCTGGTTGAACCCTTTGCCAAGAGCATTTTAATTTTTTGCTGTTGATAGATTCAAAATGTGTGTGTGGGGGGGGGGTGCATTTTTGCGCATAAATAAATTTAGTTGTGCACTATTCTACCATTAATCGAAGAGCTACCAAATTTCCTTGATATCGTTGTATTTATAAAAAAAAAACAACAATTGAACCCTTTGCCAAGAGCATTTTAATTTTTTGCTGTTGATAGATTCAAAATGTGTGTGTGGGGGGGGGGGTGCATTTTTGCGCATAAATAAATTTAGTTGTGCACTATTCTACCATTAATCGAAGAGCTACCAAATTTCCTTGATATCGTTGTATTTATAAAAAAAAAACAACAACACATTTTTAAGTTGTTTCAAAATAGTAATGTTTTTATTTTTGTTATCATAACTATTTATTTCATCAAGCTACTTCAAATGAATTTTTTAAAAAACCATATATCAATCCATAAAAGGCTGGCTGTCATATAAAATAAGTAGACCGCCTTAATAATTATAGTTAATAATTAACTTTCCCAAATATTTTCAATTCTTACCATATGCAAAGAGAGAACAAGTATTGGCTTGAAGAAAATGTGTGGATTCAGTTTTTTTTTATAAATTGTGTATGAATGTCAAAAAATTATAGGCCTACTAATAACTAGATTTTCAGAGCAGCGTGACATACAATAAACACCATGTCCTACCCAGGGCAGTGCAGAGAACTGTTGGGTCCCGAGCAAATCCAAATTGTGGGCCCTCAAACGTAATTCCTTCCCCCCTCCCGCCCCTCCCCCCAAATTAAAATCCGCCAATTGGAGCCCCCGTGCGTGCAGTACCCCGAATAAATTTCTCGTTTGCCGCGTCATCTGCACGTCACTGGTCCTGCTTTAAAAGTCGATTTCAATTTGTACAGAAATAGAAATTGAGAAAACATAATGAGAATGTATAATACTAAGCTAGAACTATTTCAAAATATTAAAATATACGCCTTCATAACGCTGAAAATTTAGCTCAATTTCGTATTGTTCTGAAATTTTTATTGGTGAAAATGGAACAGTTACAATTTACTACTCTTTACATTTTAAAAATTAAAAATGATAAATTCATTGCATTAATTTAAAAAAAAAATAATTTGCATGATTTTTTAAACACATTGTTCTCGATGGGTCATTTGAACTTGCTCCGAGGGGGAACGGGGGGGGGGGGGGGGGAAAAAATTTAAGTTAAAAAATTTTTGAAAAGGTACGGCAGGTGGGCTTGGGGAAGCAAAAAGTTACAGTTAAAAATTGTTTGAAAATGTTTGAATATTCTATTAAAAATATTGATAGCAAACAATAACAATTTCGATAATAACTCAATAAGTCTTCACATTTTTCAGCTAATCTAGTGATCAAATCCAGTAACTCTTCAAAACATGATTGTAGCAGGCATAATTATTTTTTTTATAAACAAAAAAAAATCAAAATTAGGCAGTAATAAGATATCTGATTAGTGAAAAATATGTCTTATCCAAACATTAGATCCCTAAGCTAATCATTTTTTTTAAAAATATTCTCCCCTCCCTTATTTCCCATATTGATTTTGTTACCTGGAGAAATTCGTGGCCCGGCAGAGGAGAAATTGCCCCTCCCCCCTCCCCCCTCACCCCAACTCAGAGTGTAAGCAGCTGCTTCCTCTCTCACACCCCCTCCCAACTGTATAGACGCCCCTGGCACGTTCTACATGCGTTTCAATCGCATTTGCCAGAAGATATAGTGTTTCGCGCTTCCCATTGGAAGAGATGTTTAAATTAATTGGCTAGGTAGTTAATCTCATAGGGCTCACTAGTGAAATAAATCTATTTTTATCAAGATAAAACCAAAGATAACGTCATTTCCCATATAATAAAGCCCTGGATATGGGCTTGGGCTTTGTCAACTGAGATGAAAGACGTTTTTTTTCAGGTGTAGAGGATATTGGTGGGAGACAACTGCTGTAAGGATGATCACTGTTTTGTGTAATACGGGGGCTCTGAAACATAAGAAGTATACAAATAAGGGAATTTTATACGCCAAATAACACTGTTCATGTTAGTAAATGACAAAATAGGTTGTATTTTCAAATGCGGCCATGTAAAAATATTACTTCTGGTTCCTCATTACCATGATAAAAAAAAAAATAATTACAAAAAAAATAGGAAGGGATTATTGTGGACCCGCAAAAGATCAATGCGAGGTCACACGCAGAAATTTGTGTGTTTTCCTTCCCCCCAATTCGACAAGACGTCACATGAACCAATTTTACCGAAAGTCAAAGCCGCCTCGATGGTGGTGTTGCAAAAAGGCTCCCGCCAAAGGTCTTTTATCTTTATGTTGTATCCGAAGTATCAAAGTAGACCAGCATCGCCACTAACGTCGAGTGATTCATCAAGTTAAATCGCAAATGATCTCGATTTCTTTCTCTCCTCTACAACTCACTCATTAATATTTTAATATCGGTTGCCATAACGAGGAAAATCATCTAAAAGTTTATCACTCAAGGTCAAGGGTCGACTACCATTTTCGAGTGTGAAGCCATTTTTTAAAAAATACTTTACTAGAAATGACCCGCCAAACAATGGCGGCGGCTATGCGTGAACTTCCCATCTACTAAATCCACTGTATAAATTTTTTTAAAATTTAATGTAAATAAGTGCCAGCGTCTATGAATTTAATTTGGCGCCTTTTGAACACAGCATTACAGCACCATCTTTGAGTCGTTACCGATAAAAAAAAGAAGAAGGAAAAAAAAAAGACAGTTTTAAGTCGTTAAGGTGTAGGAAGAAAATTTCTAGGGCTATCGTTAGACATAATGAAAAACAATAAAGTAGGTCTGAAATCACATGGGCTTTTTTAATACGCCAAACTCCTCATTATGCTTTGGTCCCTCTTGGATGATCAACGGGCTAATAAAACCATGCGCCCGGAAATGTGTTTGACTTGAATAAGTCCCCATTAGGAATATATTTGTTCAACCCATTTGTGCTGTCTCTGGAATTATGGTCGTGGGATGCATTCAACTAAAGATTACCTCTCTATGATTTGGTCAGTTTTTATTCTTACCTCAGGTGGACTCAGGTGTAAAGCATCATCGGAAACACGCTGACTGGTGCTCGTCGGATGTCTTTCACTTGGAAGTATCCGCTCGAGAATAAATGGCTCGGCTGTTGAGCTAGGTGAAAAATCGCCTTTTCCGGCCGAGCGAGAATCGTTTGACCTCTTTTCCGACAGCCAATGTTTGTCTAAATGCCCCTGCAGCCTTAACACTTCCGCGTGCTCCGAATAAGAGCCAATGTCAGAGCCCCGTTCTTTCCCCGCCTTGGACAGTTGTGAGCTGGTTGAGTGGCTCCGACTTCCCGTGCTACTTGACGCCAAGCCACCGTTCCCATGGTGACCATTTAAATGCGGGTGAAGAGGGAGAGCAGCGCTGGAAGATTGTCGAACTGACGTCCCCTTTTGGGTAACCAGCACCGGTTGTTTCTCGCTAAACACGCGGTTAAAATTGTTGTCCCTGTTACTCAGCTCCAGGCGGTACCTTTGTACCTCCTGGCGGAGGCGGTCAAGCTCGTCCGAAGGGTCGGTCGACTGACTCTTGTGGCTCTTGCTTTGGTTTGAGGCCATTTCTGAGAGTTTTTTGTTGAACCGGACTTTCATGGTCTTCATGTCCGTCTCCAATTGTTTGTTTCGGGTCAACAGCTGCTCGTGTGACCTGTGGTTATTCTCTATTATGGACTGGAGCTTTCTCACATCACTGTCGAGTTTCTCGTTGGTTTTCCGCAGCTCTGCTATGATTGCCTAAAGAAAGAGCGAGTTTTACTTTTTAAAAGTTGTGTTTAAAATGCTGTCTCCGGCATCACATATAGGACAAAATAAAGCAATTTATAAAATCGCAATTTAAAAGAATGCCATCCATAAAATAAATATATTTTATTCTAACGATTGTAATAAAACTAATATTGGGGTAAAGAAATTATATAATTATGGTTCTTTGCTTTAAAAAAAAGAAAATTAAAGATTCTCCGACCCCCGTCATCTGCTGGGGGACCCTTGACAATATCTTTGTATTTGGACCACGCTCTCCTAGCAACGTTTGTCTATACTATCGTATTGCTCATATTTTTTTTAAAAGCATGAAATATACTCAGGTAACTTGAGCAGTTTTATAATTAATGCTGTTTTACGGTATGGGGCCTTGGTCATATTATATAACACAAAAATGTAATTTTTTTTTACCCATCCCTTGATCCCTTATAACGTTGTATCACATTTATATTGAGCACACCCCTTAATAATAGTTAGCATTTCTGCCCCCCCCCCCACCCACCAGGGTTGCCACCCCAATAAAATATAAAATGTAATTTTTTTTTACCCATCCCTTTATCCCTTATAACGTTGTATCACATTTATATTTAGCACACCCCTTAATAATAGTTAGCATTTCTTCCCCCCCCCCCACACACCAGGGTTGCCAACTCAATAAAATAACATTTACTGACAAATATAAGAACTCTCAACAAAATTTACGGACAAAAACAATTTTTTACGGACACATTTAACGTAAAATGTTGACCTCAAAACGATCTGTGTAAACCAGCGGTTCTCAACCTGTGGGTCGCGACCCCTTGGGGGTCGCACGACCCTTTCCCAGGGGTCGTCTAAGACCACCGGAAAACACTTTATCTCTACAGTTATAAAGTATCAACGAAAATAATTTTGTGGTTGGGGGGGTCGCCACAACATGAGGAACTATATTAAAGGGTCGCGGCATTAGAAAGGTTGAGAACCACTGGTCTAAACAAGTCCATCTTGCCGCGATGCGTCTCGCCGCGCCAGCCTAGACTAAAACAATTTAAAACTTAAAATTTCAATCAAGAAACTAGATATCACAAACATGATTTACTGGTTTTTTTAACGTTGAGATTCCACGTTTTGTCGATTTTTTTTTTTATGGACGTCTTAGTTTTTTAACGGAATTTTACGGACAGGCAATTTTACGACAAATCTTGACGGACTGTCCGTAAATTTACGCACGGTTGGCAACCCTGCCCCCCCCCCACACACACACACAAACACATGCAGACACCTCCAAGTTTTCGATAAACCTAATAAAGCCAAACCAAACAAGTTTCAAGTAAAAAGCCAGAAAATAATTTACGCACGGTTGGCAACCCTGCCCCCCCCCCCCACACACACACAAACACATGCAAACACCTCCAAGTTTTCGATAAACCTAATAAAGCCAAACCAAACAAGTTTCAAGTAAAAAGCCAGAAAAAAAATTCCCCCCCCCCCAAAAAATGTGCTAATTGTTGTAAGCAAAAAATACGTTTTAATCTTTAATAATCTAGGCTCATTTCATAAATTTGAAGAACATAATTTTTTTTTCGTAAAATAAGAATGAATGATAATTTTTAAAAAGACCTAATAATATATAGCTATATATAACATTGCTCTCGACCACCCCAACCCCACCCCACATAACACAATATATCAAAATGATAAACCACCCCCTACCCCCTTTGCATTATATAATATGTGCACGGTCCCCCAACCAGATGATTTGTATATCCACGTTTGACTAAAGATCAAATCTGGTTACTCTAAATCTCTCGCCTGCTGTTTGACAAGTTGGAGACACCGAGAGAATTTTTTTTTTTTCATAAAGAGTGACCTTCTCAATACAAACATGTCTCATTGACGCCCGCCAACGGCTCTTAAAAAGCTGTCTCGTGTTTTGTTTGTTCGCAGTGGCGTTGCGATAAGCATGTTTAATGTAAATACGATGTCAGTAAGTCTTGCGGGCCCCCTCCTGGGGAACCCAGTATTAGCTGTCATTAATCCTAAACAACCACGATCGTCGGGTGCCTCGTAGATTAGCTCGAACGTTCAAAACTATAATCGATGAGCTTTGGTGAACGGTGGGCGTTTCAGTTTCAGCTTCGTGAAATCATTTCCTCATGCAATTGTATGTGGGCCTATACGTGTGGTATGTGTATGCGTGTGTGTGTGTAAGTAGTTAAAGCACGCATGTGTGTAAATCCGTGTCTTCTTACATCTAAACCAATTTGAGCAAGGATAGATTTGATCAAACTGTAAAAAATGGTCAAAGTTAGGCATGTTAGTATGATAGCGTTGACAGACTGTTATGCGCGCCTACTCAATGAAAAGGACTTTAAAATTATACAACCCTTAAGAACACAGCTTTTCGTATAAATCCTTAGCGTGCGTTTTTTTTTGTTTTTTTTTTTTAATTTTATATTTTAATATTTTAATGTCCCACCCGCAGATTTATTTCACCAACTATTTCAACAACAACAAAAAAAAGTATATCGAATTTTTTTTGTAGAATGTGTCGTCATCGGCAACGCCAAGTTTCAGCTCGATAGGTTGACGGGAAGTGGGTCAATTAGCCGTCCTCAGATTTTTGCCATGCAGCAACGAGCAAAAGCGGAGTTAATATAAAGGATTTAAAAATAAAATTGTGAAATATCAGTCTTGTGTGTGTGTTTGTTGTTTCATCGTTAAAAAGTAAGTATTGTCCAGGCCAGGTCTGCAGAACTCAAAATCGAAGGCAGGCCCGTAATACTTTATGAAAAATTTGGACGGGCCAAAAGAAAATAACACAGGGGGAGGGGGGGGGGAGGAAGCTATTAAGAAAATAATAATAAAAAAGAATACGTTGTTACTTCGCGAGCCGCACAGCGAGTGCTGGCGGGCCGCATGCGGTGCAGGCCTAGTCTATATATTCAGTGCAGTGCGCTGATGCATACCTAATGACGAATAGAGGGATATCAACATCGCACCCATCATCAATGTTTGATTGAGTCCAATGTTTGACAACTTGAATGTTGTTATATTTCAACAGGGTCTCGTTTATGTGATGATTTAGCATATCCCTCACCAAGAAACCCCACCCAACCCACCCCAGAAAATAGAATTCTTAAATCTGAATGTAGATACAGCACGTGGAAAAAAAGGTATGTATACTATACCCACCTCAGAGTCACCTTGCGCACCGCTAAGCTTTTGTTCCGCCCCTGCCAGTCGCGTGCGAATCCGTTCCAGTTCCTTCTCCTTCTTGTTGATTTCCTCGCTCTTGGCAGCCGATTCTTTCGTCCAATTTTGTTTGAACGTCTCAATGTCTCTCTGGGCGTAGATCAACATGTCTCTCAATTTTTGACACTCACTTCTCTCCTCGTGCAGGGATGCCTCCTTCTCGTTCAGCACCCTGCGCCATTCCGCCTCCTTGGCCAGCAGCTCGTCGGCTTTTTCGTGGCGTATTCGATCTGCGTCATCACCACACTGCCGCGTCATCGCGGCTATGGCGCTCTCGAGTTTGCCCATTTGACCCTTGGCGTCAGCTAGAACAAGCTCGATTTCGTGCTCGTAGGACTCCTTCAGTGCATCCATCTCCACCTCCTTCTCGTGGTTTCGGGTGAAGAGCATGTGGACGACCTGCGTGAGTTCCGCCACCTTCTTGGACATGCGGTACTCAAAGCTGTTCTTGGGTCTCTCATGCTGATGTGTTGCCATGATCACGAATGCGGGTTTCTTCTTTTTTTTTTCTTCAAAAATATATTAAGGTATCATAATGTGAAATATGAACGTTATTTATTATCGTACGTACGTTGACAATTAATCATATTTTTGAGACAATTAATCCTATTTTTGAGACAATTAATCATATTTTTGAGACAATTAATCCTATTTTTGAGACAATTAATCCTATTTTTGAGACAATTAATCCTATTTTTGAGACAGTGATCAAATTTTTGGAGCAGGTTTCCTATTTTCTTTCATCTCCAAGAAGCAGATCCATGGGGTCAAATGGATTCTATTTTTAGTTTTGACGCATCAGTTTTTTTTAGATAATAGCTTCGGCCAATACCTATAAATGATGCGCCAAAGGTTATGTAGGTGGTGGCCAATATGATGACCTCAGTGTTTTTAATAGAGTTTAATTTTTGTACAATATCTGATCCAACGAGGGAGAACTGATTTGCATACACCAAACACTTTTGTCTGTGTCAATAGATGTGTTAAACACATTCACCACAAACTGTTGACTGTGTCCATAGATGTGCTCATCACACCATAAACGGTTGTCTGTGTCTGTAGATGTATTAAACACATTCACCAAAAACCGTTGACTGTGTCCATAGATGTGCTCATCACATTCATCAAAAACTGTTGTCTTTGTCTATAGACGTGTTAAACACACTCCCGAGACCAGTATTCCTTATGAATCAACTGTTTTGTTGAAAACGTTTCAGCTGAAAAGAAAACAAACAGTGGGTGAGCTGGGGTTAGTGCCGCCCGGAATGGGTCAAGAATTTTAAAGCCTCATTTCAAGAAAAAATTCTCTGCAGTTGCCCGAAAATTCCGCCCTTCAAGATAAAGAAAAAAGGCTGGGGCAAACCGCAACCAATTTCCTACGCCACAGAAAGCAAATTTAGGCAATTATAGTGTTGTTTTTTTCCCTTCAAACTCTTGATTTCTAGAATTAAATAATTTTGTCCTGTGAAAATATTCACACTATTAGAAATTAATTGACAATAATTATCCTACTTTCATTTTAATTCTAAACTATTATTAAGGCATTTTTAAAAAAAAATAGTCTAAACTGTATAAGATAAGCAGACATTTGTTTTATTTGATCAGTAAAGGATGCATGTCATTCAGTACGTACACACAAACATGTAGACTAAGTGACATTGACTTACCGCCTACCTGTGCGTGTGTGTTGTGTCCCAGAATTCGAAACATAGTCGTCAACGGAAATTGACGTGCGAACATAATGGCAGGGAGCTCAAGTCTGCTGTCGGTACACCTTTGACTTAGCGGGGCTTACGGCAGGGCTGTCTTTTCACAGCAGGGTAGCCAGCCTGGCGAGGCACGTGTGTTACAGTATTAATGACAAGTCTGCAACGTAAGAGGTTCTCAAAAGGTGTCATCGGGCGCCCGCTCGCGTGTTGTCATGCACTTAACAAATTATAGAGGGACGTGCGTTACGTATTCGTAGTGGGGAATCCTGCTAAATATCACACTATCTATTAGGCCCATTGTTCTCTTTAAAGTACATCCATTAAAAATAATTGTCTTTTTGTATAACAAATGGGCCATTGTGACACTTGAGGTTTTGTTTAGATCTACACATTTTTGAATAGGGTTTGTCCTTTCTAAGACCGGAAAACGTCACATCGTTTTACGTAATGTTACTATTTTTAGACAATGTCTTCGTAAAAGTTAGCTTCTTAATTTTTTTCCGCACAGCCTATATATATATATATATATATATATATATATATATATATATATATATATATATATATATATATATATATATATATATATATATATATATATATATATCAGTAACAATTTGATTGTAAAATATTTCATAAAACAATGCTCTAAACACGGTTTCGTATACGTTAAGACCCACTATGCTGGCCCCCATTAACGTATAACAGCTGTTGAGAAATTGGCCAACGGAATACCAGGATGTTTTATCAATATCTTAATGAGATTGGCCACACTGTATTCCCGGATGTTCTGTTAATAGATTTCCGCCATTAAATGACAAACGCTTTACAATCTTAAATTATAACAAGTTAAAAAAACAACTAAACACAATTTTTACTCTCAATTTATGATCAGGCATGGCACGACCTGGTCACATGAAAAAAATGTAGCATATCGGGGTCCTTCTGAAGTGCTGTAGCACAACGGGTTCCTTCTGATGTGTTGTAGCATAACGGGGTCCTTTAGCTGTAGCGCGACGAATGAAAATGAAGAGACGGTACGTTATGCAAATATAGCATACTTTTAAGTTAATGTCTCTTCTATCTCAATTTATATTCCAGTGAAGAGTACAAATAATGATTAATAGTGTATTGTAACAGAGAAATTCACTTACATCACCTACTACATCCAAGTACCTAGGGTTAGTGCCGCCCAGGGAGGGTATAGATCTTTACCGCCCCCCCCCCCACAAAAAACTCTTCAGATGATCGAAAATGCCGTCCCTCCTGTATAAAAAAGCACCCCTCCGCCCTAACTTCAAACGCGAGCGCCATAGCATATTAATTAACGAATTAGATTTGTGAGCTTTTTAAAACTACTTTGCAGAATACTCAATGAGGCATTGAGACAATTAAATTTAAAAAAAAAAAAAAAGAGTTTTACAACAACAAAAAAATGGTATTTAAGACTATGAACAAGCTCTTCATCACTAACATGAACTGAATCTGACATCTGTAGAATTTCTTAACCATTCAGATATCTCCACCACCACAGTTTATTAAAGATCAATAATTGTTTATAATACGTTTCTACCTACACATCTATATTTTGAAATCACGTATTTTTACCTCATACGCCAAAAACTAATCATATATGCACGCGCCATAAGCTTTTATCCACCATCAGCCCGCCAACGTTGCCTTTCGCTCTTTAAAAAACTTTTTTTTTTTTTTTTTTTTTAAATACACATGTGCCGTGCAACTTTGCCAATATCGAAAGAGACGCAGTATCAGACCAGGCTTCACTGAATTAGCAACAATAATAATAAACACACTGTTTTATTAGATCTGTGCTGGCTAAGCAGTGCCCCAGGGTGCAGTGTGTCAATATTTATTGATCGACCCCCAGCTTGAGGCGGGGGAAATGAGTGTCGGTTATTGAATATTGAGGTCAAAATATAACCAAAGTGCTGAAACCCCCCCCCCCCCCCAAACCCTTTCCACACACATTTTTTTTGTCCAGAGCCAGGATCAAGCTTAATTAAAACCAAAACAAACTGCTCGCTAAACCAGCGGTGTCGGGTGGTGACAGTGAAATATTATGATTTTTTTTCTTCTTGTTTTAACAATTACAACGTGTTTTATTAATTAATAATTTTGGTTTTTGTTTTGTAAGGGTAACCCAATAATAGTAGTGCAATAAGTGTTTCTTTCAGACATTTGTTCCCGGGATGGAGGGGGGGGGGGCATTTGAGAGTTTTTTTTTGGGGGGGGGGCGGCAGAGCCAGTTGCCAGTGGGCAGTGGCCAGANTCGTAAAAATGAATCAGGTCCTCTGACATCGAACACTCTGGCTACGCCCCTTCCAGTTGCATAGAAAGGGGGGGGGTGAGCTTGTTCACACATGTGTCACTCTTTTCTTTATATAGAGGTACGGCATTTTCGGACAACTGCACCGTTTGTATCGTGAAAGTGAGAGCGGCAAAAATACCCCCCCCCCCAATGGTTGCACTAAAAGTATAGCTACGCCTCAAGGTAGTGTATCTCTCGTCACCAAAATTATCCAACATTTTACTACAAAGGACATACTAGAAGCCTGTTACTGAAGATATCATGAGGAAAAGATAGCGGTGGACGGGGCACACTCTCCTTAAACCCCTAAATAACATCACCAGACAATCCTTAACATGAAATCCACATGGAAAAAGAAAAAAGATGAAGCCCTAAAAAAAACTTGGAGACGCCGACTAGAGGCAGAAACACAAAGTATGGGATACGTCGGGAAGCAACTAGAAAAGATAGCACAGGGCCGAGATGAATGGAAAATTCTGTTAGACACCTTATGCCCCAGTCTGGGTAAAAGGCATAAGTAAGTATAAGTAAGATGAATCTTGAGCGGTGGTGGAGTCTGGGGAGCTTTATCCCCAGAATTTTACAAATAATTTCAAAATCAAAAGGTGCAATTTGGAGTGTCGTTGAATTCAATGTTTCTATTAAACTTTTTGATCAGGGAAAATACATTTTTAAGGGTCTGGGGAGGCATAATGGTGCCATTGCCATACATTAACTGAATTCACTCTAGTTGTGGCCTACCCTTATTTGACACAAGATGATATTCAACCCTATACTGTTATTGAAGGGATGTAGACATCGAGGGTGCTAAAGACAGTCGCGTAAATTCAAAATGCAGGGGTGCATTTTGACGCATACTTGAATTTGGTGTTATCTTTCAGACAATTCTGAGGTCGTATTTTAACCTTTCGCGTGCGAAGCGTCAAAATTAGCCATAATAATGATCAAAGACAGCCTTAACGCCACACTAGCGGGACATGAACTAAATTCATTCCAGTTGTGGCGCCCTTGAGGGAATGCATTTACCTAGATTAATATTGCCTATTAAATCTTTATAATCCCCAGAAAATTTTTGACAAATTCAAAATAAAGTTATGCACTTTAGCAAATACTTAAATTTAGTTTTGCATCATTCATACAGACTTTTATTCAGAGCCCATGTTTTACATTGTAACTCTACAGTCTGGTTATCGGATTTCAACAAATGGTGTCTTTGAGACATTGATATCCTCATAAAATGCACCCACCCACTCAGGGACGTAGTTTTATTAAATGCTGATTTGGGGCTAAATTACAACAACAACAACAAAACGTACGATTCTTCCTTCAACACCCACACCTAGGCATACTATATAAAAAAGGAGGCAATAAAAATTAATAAAAGAACACCAATGACTGTACACCCCCCCCCTCCCCCAGGTACGTTAAAGTCCCAAAGCTCTCTTTATGCACGTCCCTGAACTAAATGATAATTCTCTTGTTCTTTTTTTGGGAGAGGACAAAGCTTTGGTTAAATGCGTGCAACAAAGATATGCACACCGAAACCTTCTTTTAATAGATGTTTGAAAGCGCGCCGTTCTGAATAAAGGTTTGGTAAAAATGCGCAGGCTACACCAAAACAACTTACTTACCGCGTACGTCCCACGAAGATATTCTGTAAAAAAAACAACATTATCCCTATATTTTAAAATAATAAAAAGCCTTTAGAAATAACCAAACTTTCCAGGCACCACCTGAACTTCAATTGGAATGTTCAAATTTGTTTGCGATCCATTGTTCGGTTTTCTTTTGATATAGTGACCCCATTTACAATACATAGTCAGACTGAGCCTTTTATACAGTTAATATACGCTATATAGTTGAAATAAACATACACCCATACTGTCAATCGTCTAGAAGTAGGCTAAGTAGAAGAAATTTTATATTTATTAATCACACCCCCTTTAAACAAGTCCTATAATAACAAATCTTTCAACGGCGCTTTGTCCATTTTTTAAAACATATAGTTTAAATTCATGTTATCGTATGTTTTCTTTAAAAAAGTGTTGGCCACACTCATAAGGGCCGTGATTATTTTAAGATGTTTGTTTCGTTAATAAAACGTAACTTAAAGGGACATAACTTATATACATTTTTTAAAACCGAAAATAAATGGGACATCACTTCTACGGAAAATGTTTACAGCAACCATAGCAACAGGGATTTCCTGCTCTCGGCAATAGCGACTGTCTGGCTGTAAGTAGTTATCAGTGGAAATATTATTTAAAAACTACGTTTCTTTCTCATGAGAATGGAAACAAGTGCGGCAAGAGCAACTGCTACTTTAGCTAATGGAGGCAGAAATGATATCAGAATTAACAATTCAGCTGGGAGATGCATGCTGGAAAACTGGGTTGAGGAGGTAATATTATTATTTCTAAAAATATTAATAATTAGTAAATTAGTATTAATGTTTAAATTAGTAATAATAATAAATAAATCACTAAAATTCTAATTTGAATTAAGGCTAGTTATGGGTATATTTAGCGTTACCCTATTTAGCTTTTTTCATAACCCTAATCCTTATCACTCCTAATGTCTGTAATGACTAAAACGTCAAACAGTGATTGTGATGAATGAAAATAATTTAATAATGAAGTTAATCAGTGTCAGTACTTTTCTATCATTCACAATCATTTTTTAAAATCTTTCTTTGCTTAAGCCTAAGCCTCAAATTCAAATAAAATCTTTGTATTGCTAATCATCTCTATCATTTCAATAAATTATTCAAATTAAATATGGTGTAGATAGCAAGTGAAGAAGGTGGTACAGCATATGCTTTAGCCTTTAGCCAATAGAATATGTTAA